GGCGCAGGCGCGCGCATGCGCGCTTCCATAATGCTGCGTCGACTGCTCCACCACCATTTTATACTTTATGAGATCGTCAGAATACATACCCATGTTATGACTTTGCAAAGGTGTTTTACATTTTACGTACCATTTTCGTCTTTTTATCCTTCCAATATATTTTTATCCTTTCATTTTTCAATTAGAACTAGGTTAGATGTTGTTCGTATAATTTTGTCCCACGATAGGAATACGAATGAATAGTTACAATCTGAAAAAGGGTAATGTGCGATATATCAACATGAAATGTTTCTAAATAATGATATATGTGTACGTTTGAAAATAATTTCCGTTCTTAATATTGTTGGAGATTTTTCAGGAACAATATGACTTTTCACGGATATTATCATAGGAACAGAGAGGATGACGAGTATTGAGGTATTGCGCATTTTCCATTTTCCGTCATTTCCTGCTCTATACAGCAAATTGCGATTGAATAATGGACATCGAGCATCTAATAATTGCTGAATAAAACCTGTATTTTTCGCACAATTACTGTACCTATTATACCGTGCTCGTATCACGTATGCAGTTTCACAGGTAGAAAAGAAAAGTAAAAATCGATTCTACTATTCAAATGACTATCAGTAATCGAATACTAAAAACATGCAGTAAAATTCTCTTAATAAGGATTTATTCGTATCGCCAAAGTGAAGTTCACAATAGATTAAATGTTCATAATATATAAATATGATATATATATATACATATTAATAAAAAAAGAAGAGGAGTAAAAAATATCGTAATTGTAATGCTTTTGTTAACATAGTTCAAACGTTTGCATACAAACTGATATTTGTTAGAAACAGAGCATCGGTCGTGCAATGAATAAACATTTCGCGGCGTGATCGTTATTGTCGAATGATCACGTGAATTATAAACAATCGTACAGTGAAAGCAGGCTAGATCAGTTCGGCCAATGTTAAAAATTTCTTTACTGTTATAGATGAAACGTACTGGTAGAAAAATGATAACCCAGTGATCGGATTACGTTGTACGGGAAGTAATTTGGTATTTTTGACAGAGAATCAACATACCGAAAGTTAGCATTTGGCTTATAGAGCATATATGTACCTCTAGCTACATTTTCACTTTATCTACAATCAATCGTTTCAAGCAACGGATCAATGCATCCAACTATTGTTAGCTTCGCAGACTGCGCGTTCGTTTTGAAAGTATGTAAACACCATATTCTCCAAGACTATTCGATCAGTTCGATTGCTTATTAGAGTAGAAGTGATTAATGCGAGGAACAATTTGTTTAAATTAACTATATTGATCAATAATTTCTTACTATATATAGATGTTATTAAGTGGTTTAATAAAGCGTACGTTATTAACGTTATAAAAGAAGTGTTATGAAGGTCTCTATCGCAAAGCGTTCTCGTTGCCTTGGTTTCTTTTTTAGCAAGACCACAAAAGAAATTATTTAAAAAAGAATAATAAATCGTGTCAAAGATTATGAACATTTCAAATTATGAAATCATCAGAAAAATTTCACAACGGTTTATAAAATCTTTGGACGACATTTGTAAATAAAAGGTAAGCAAGTAATAAAGCTTTTATTGTCGAAATGAAGCTGGTCAGTGTAACCGGGTTAAAAATTCCTGTGAGTCCTTGTCATCGTGTTTGAGAGCGGCTCGTCACGCGAACGATGTCGGTTCGCCACTGTATACCAAACTCTTATGTAAGGCTCGTCATGCGAATACATTTGTTTATTTGGGTTATTGCTTAGTTGTTTGTAGGGGCCGATGTTTTTAGGAAAGCAACACGAGATCCATGCGCAACGATACACACGATTGTGCGCGTTAGCGCGGAAATTGAATTACCTTTGTGCGACTGCAGCGATGAAAGCGAGGCCGGATTGTACCATCTTGCAAACGGTCTTCCAATTAAACGTAGCTACGAAGTACAATTTACACGTCAAAGGATCTCGATGGTAACGTTCCCATTGCTTTTGTTCCAAATGGGATGCTTCATTGATCATATATTGCTCGTTTAAAAAATTGGAAGCATCTGATGATTGTCAATAATTAATGAAGGATTAACAGCTGATACATATTATCAATGAGATATTAATAATTTAAGAAGTAATTGAGAAGCACGATGTAACACATGTACTGAAGGGGTTAATCTTTATTTCTTCCTTTTTTCTTCATTTTAGCACAGTAAAGAAAGGATATTCGCTTTCAATCACAAATACGTTGATCGAGATTAATTTGGAGGGATTAGTTCGTTAACTAACGGAGCGACGAGATGATGGGAATTTAAGAGTCCCATTAGGATGTTCTCTGAAAACTTGTTTGCAATTTAAAGTAAGTCAGCGTTTGGTCGGAGGAAAGAATCGTGGGTGGAAAGAAAAACTTTGTGGCCAGGGGATGAAAAGACGGCTGGCATAAAATTATATTTGTTCAGTCGAATCTTGGACGAAACGGGTTGTAGGACCGTGATCAGAATTTTTATGGAAAGGCAGTGCCGAATTCATGAATACGCGCGCGTTCGCTTCCTGTTCAAGATTTACGGGCATCACAAATGCACGCTTCCGCCCACATTCAATGAAAGTTTCCAAGACATTCGCACGCCATTTAATGAAGCTCTAACACTAGCCTTCATTTCCAATAACAAACGTGATTCCGTGTTGCTCGTTTCTTTGATAATGCGCTCTCCTGCAAAGTAAAGTAGGAAAGTTCAAAAGATCAAATGTCGAACGGCGTATGAAAGAGAATTTATGTAAATTCAAAGTAAGAAACATAACGTAGTTAATTACGTTATATTACCGGCATAGTAATTATTTGAATTTAAAGTAGCGATTTTTGTGATATAAAATGTCACGTCGAATTAAAATCCCGCACAGGAAAGGTTTCGATTGCGGGAAATATAAACTGCACACGCGTTAAAATCCAGTTAATCGAATTTAAATGATATTCAGCCTTTATTAAGGTTTCCCGTGACTTCGCACATACCTTTAACACTGCCGTTTTCATTATCATAAACGTTACGTTATTGCAATCTTACCAAGACCGACACTGTTACACAGGTGAGACAGTCATTAACAGGGAGCAATTAAGTTAACTGTGTGCAAAATGTTGTCATTGAATTTTAATGATCTCATTATCTGTTATTGGCTGTTATGATCTCAATACATACAGGAAAAGCCTTGTAAAATTGACTATTAACTAACTAAGTAAATATAGGGCTTTGGAAGATCGGCAAACAAATTTTTGATTCCATTTGGAAATTTTATTTCAGCCATACTGTTCAATATTTCACCAAGAGCAGTGGTTCTTAAAATTACCGGATTAACCTTGAACCCAAAATCGTCCGCAATATCCCGGCTGATCCTCGAAGAATACAAGCCGCAAACAAGAGAACGAAAGGTATTAGGAGAAGAAAAGGAGTGTTCGAAAACAAGGTTAAAGACAAGCACGGTAAAAAAGGGGGATAGAGAAATGGAATGAAAGAAGAAACGTAAGAAGAGATGAAAAATAAGTGAAAAAAATGAGGAGTAAGAAGAGGGCTCTGCTCGTGTCTGAGGGCGACCCTCGGTGAAAATGCAATTTCGGTTCTTGTCTGGAGACGACGTAGCTACCATGGCTCATCTTCCTGGCGTCCGTACCTCCTTCAACATTGTTGAAGGCACAGCCTCTCGTGCACACAGAAGTTCTTCTCTCTGGCATGTTCCAGGAGATGAAAGGCTCCCGTGGCTATCAAAGGGAAAGGGAAGAGAGGTAAAGGCCCCACCCGACAATGGCCCTGAGCTCCAAGGTTTTCAAGCTCGACGTCCAGGCCTCGGAGGACCAGTCGTGTGATTTCAACCGGCCTGTCAACTTATTCCCATTTCATCCGATTTCGATAAATATCACGATTGTTTCGATTTTCCAATCATCTAGAATTTTCTCAAACAAATTTGAAAATACCAGAAAATTCAAGTTTCCGCATATTATAAAGCTAATCGTTTAGAGTCTAGCAGATACCACGGGGAATTTTCTATGTGTCTAGGAAATGGAGGAAAAACGTCAGCGTATTACTCACAGAGAGAAGCGTTTCCTCTTTTAACCGATTACGAAACGAAGAAAGAAGGCGGTTCTAAATTTACATTGGTTCATTTTGCATCCTCGTCGACGAGGTGAACGCGCTCTTCGACCAGCGACATCTCGCCAGAGAGCCATCTTCGGCGACGAGAGAACTGGAACAAGGTGTACGATGAATTTTCTACGAGATGTTTGAGAGCACTGCCAATGATTCAGCGTTTCTGACCGATTGCCACGAGAGTGAGAGGGAGAGTATCGATAATGCACGTGCCTCATTTTACATTGTTGCATATCTTGATGGAGAACATTCAAAGTTTCATACTGCCTTCTTGGAAATCAATAAGATTAGGTAGTGAGCACTTTCAGGTCTCCTTAAATAACAAACTCATTTCATCTATTTAATGCTATTAGATATAAATGATTATATGATATCTTATTAATTCCAGTTGGTAATATTCTTAAAAATAAAGTAAAGGATTAGGAAGAAGTTTATGGAAGCCAGTCACATACTCGATAGCGTAGCTGTAGGCGCGAACCAGACATAATAAGGCATTTGTATGTTCATCGTGATTTTGATATTCGAGGTCCCGTCTTTTTAGCCATGCTTTTAAATCAAGGATCGAGAATAGCAAGAAGGTCGTTAACAAGTGTGAAGTTTTACTTTTTCAAGAATATTTAATATATTTTATTATTTATATTTATTGAAAGTATGTTGCAACAAGTTAATTTTTTTTTTTTTTTTTTTTTTTTTTTTTTAGAAGGAAGCTTTAAACGAGCAACGTAAAAACATTACGCTCGAATCAGCGAGACATCGTAATTCAATTAAAAATGAAACAGAAAACAGTCGATAACAGAGTACGTTAACAGATTAAAAAGGTAGAGAGAAATGTAGTCCTTTTTTTGAAAATGCATGCGCTTAAATGAATCCATCAATTCTCTCTAGAAATACGATGAAAGCACGTGTACAGTATACAGTGTACTACGTATACGTCACGGGAGTAGAAAGAGATGGAAAAAGAAAGAAAAAGAGAGACAGAGAGATACAAATCCAGTCGATGGAAATGTTACTGTAAATCTGCGTCAAGATCAGAGCTGACGTCATTCTCTGACGCACCATCATCTGACATACTCTGCATTGTTCAGCGAACGTTCGAAAATGTATATTTTCTATTGCCAATACTGTTATCGTTTTTCAAACGTCAATATTCGTCAAATTCTAATTATCACATCACCAATTATTCAGTTTACAACCCACAAATAAAAAAATCGATTATCGAGTCAAAGGAAATGTTAAAGGTCAACGAAAAATCTAAAGTCGGATGAAACATTTGTTTTACAATTTCTCAATTCCTTCACATTTTTTAATTACGTGTAATTCTAACGTTATGAAATACTTGACATATAAAAAAGATGTATATAAAAAAAATTGATATAATTTAAAAAAAAGAAGTTCAATATGGCAGTAACTTTCGCAGTAACTTTCTTTAATATAAAATTAATTTCGGTAATATAAAATTCCAAATTATCAAAATATCAAATTATGATTCATAAAATATATAGGAAAGGTGAAAGGTGATTATAAGTTATTGTATTTAAATTATGTTTGACGTCCAAAGAAATTAATTTATTTAATAATTATTAACTATAATTAAAATTGCAACCATATATTAATTGATGCTAAAAGATAATAAAATCCAATTAAACTGAATAAGAGTGTACAGGAATTTGATTATCAATCATGTAATAGATGTTACAGGAAAATGATAGTTTCGATACGTGCTGCCATCTTCGCAATTGGTTGATGCTTCTGGTAAGGCAGAGAACTGTACGTCATAGTGAGCAATAACTTAGATTCTACATGAGAATGAATAGAACATCTCGTGTTTGCGGACTCTGTAACAGGTGTTCTTATTTCTGGAGGGGAGTTCAGACTGCTGGTTGCACATCAGTGATTTCTATCTTCGACACCAGACATTGTCTTTTCGTTGCCAAAATTGTACCCAGGAAACTGGTAAATTTCTACTTAGTTGTTACTACTTTTATCAAGAAATAAACACGTTTTTTCAATACAATTATAGTAGAAAATAAAGAAACATTGGGTCACAACAAAGATTATCACATAACTTAGAGACAGGTGTAAAGAAATTATGATTAAAATATGTTTTAATATATTTAATCCACAAGAATAGAATCAAATCTAAATGAAATTATTCTTTGATTCAGTTCTCGTAGCATTGAGACTTGTATTAGAGAGTTGATTTGAAGTTTTGAGGAAAATCAGCTAAACCACAACTTCCACTTCGTTCTTATGAATAGATTATCTTTTAGAACCAAACGAAACTAAGGCTCGAAATTTTTGTTGATCTGATAATTTGCATTAGGATGATCATTGTGTAAAAATATGTTGACATGGAATCTCTGAAGAGACAAAAATTTAGAAAGGGTGTAAAATTACTGGTTTTCAGAAATATCGAGGTAAAGTAGGCAGGTGTGCTTCCTGCAGACGTACAAGTACATACATAATAAGAAGATAATATTCAAGCATAGAGAAGGAGCTGCGAGCGTAAGAGTGTGAGTGATCACGTCCTGTACTTTCCTAAGCACCTGCGGAGCCAGAACAGATCCGGCAGGTGCAAAAAGGATACGGGAAACCCCGAAGAACTTTATGCAATCCTCGTTGAACGGGTAAGTCCGTAGATTGTCCCTTTTGCTATAAAATTGAATTAAAATTTAACAAAATTTTGATAAAAGTGGAATATTTGGAATCTGATAATTTATTATTTTTTCAACTTAATTTTGTAAATAATCATTATTATTCTTTTACTATACCTTCTCAAATATCTATACTTGTTAATAAAAAAGAATAATTTTCTGTTTATGATAGTTGGATGATATACTTTATTAATCTTTCGAGTTAATTTAGAATATGTCAAATAACCAATATTAACTTTTTACTATACTTTTTGAAATATTTGACTTTCATGGCACATTCATATATGTTTTAGTTTTAAGAATTTAGTAATAAAACATGAATAATTTTCTTTCTGTGATAGTTGATCGGTATACTTTATAAGTAGATGTTATATTTTATAAGTATACTTAGTAGGTATTATATTTCTAGGAAAAGCATTAAAAAAAGAAAGCGGTATGGCTCAAAGCGCGGAGGTTTAAATGTTTAAAGCGAGCCTTCTGGTATAGAGCGCGGCGATTTTCCTGCCGTTTCCCGGGTAACTTTTGCGTCAGCCTTTATCGCCGGAAAAAAACTCGTTAGCTTGGCGCGGCCTAGCTGGCCTGCTTCCAGAACAAACCGCCAGAGGTCCGGCGTTACGTGCGAACCGAGGCCGTGCCGATGAATTTGGTGACGTAAGAGAATAAAACCACCATAAAGGCTTGCTGGTTCATTAGCGCAAACCGCGGAGCATGGCATCCTTGTAGAGAGAGCGAGGTTATAATCCATAGTCTGATCTCGGTGTATCCACAGTACGTACCTTTAAAACGTGCGCTGCGTTGGCACAGAACTCCGACATTCCACTAGACTTACTGACTAAAGGATAGTAAAACGATAAAACATTTACGATCACGGACAGTTTTCAGATCTATTTCATCTAATACTTTTATGTATTTTAAGCATAATTTTACATTAATTACAGAGAGACAAAAGAACACGAGAGTGAGAAAAGATTAGATACAATGTTTTATATAGGTTAATACAAGTAGAATTCATTTCAAAAATTGTTCGTTGCATTGTGTTACGCATGCGCAGTAATGCAGAGTCACTGTTATTATTACACGGTACAAAGATTCGGTTGATTATCGGAATTAAATATATTTATTATTATTATTGAATATTTCACAGTAAATGTTTCAATTAATAATCACTATGTATTAATTTATACCATCAGTAGAATATATTAATATGCGTCATTGACGTTCCTATATTTTCTTTTATTTTTAAATATTTAATACATGCTACTGTAATTGTTACAGGAGTAAATTACTTTTCAAAACGCGTTTGGTTTTTGAATTATCGACATGTAGTCCTCCGATTGTTCAGTGCTGCAGCGAAACGCAGCAATAAGGAGAGATAATATACATACTTGACTTCCACTCGAAGAGGTCGGGTAGATAAGAGAAGAGTGAACCTGCGAAATTGACTTTCGTAATTACCGACCGAGAATGCGCCAGTATCCAAGGTAGTATTCGGCCGATTTACAGCCGTAGATCATTCGCATATGATAAAGTTTGCAATTTGTACGCAAAAGAGAAATGACCTAGGCTTATTCATTCGGCCATTCGCCAATTACCGTGTCGATCTTCTCTTTGAAAGTCCATTTAATCTGCATCGCAGTAATTGCTACATAACACCTTATTTTTACATCTTGTGCATGACCTCTTCTATTTTAAAATACGTCGATCGATATGTTAATACTGCAGTTCATCTTCTTTCAATTTTGGTAATGCTAACATTATTTTATCAATTGCGTTATGGCACGATACAGAGATATTCTTTATGATTTCCTACTTATTTTCCTCTTCATAGCTCTTTGCAAATTGAATTCAGTTTCTTAAAATTGTATCAAGTATCAGAAAGAAACCACCTCACAAGAAAGGTTCTATATATCAATTATGTGTATTGTATATATTGTTTTTACGGTAAACTTTCAATTACTTTAGGCAATATAGTCGAATACTTTCCAGAAATTAGAAAAACATCTATATCAAGGAATTTGTGAACAAAGCACAATTTGGTATGACACACAGCATGTGTGTATCTTGTATATGAATCGATAGTGGTTCGCATCCAGCGTTGCGTAAAATGACGTCAATTGGCGTGTAAGGATTATGTAGAAAAACTGACCGTAATCGTTATTGACTACTTAAAACGCATACAATTAAGGCTTTCTTTCGAAAGCAGGTTATTTAATCATTGATAACTTGAGACTGCCTTCCTTATTGGTAAACTATGGAATTTTTATCTTAAGAGTTTTCTTCCCTTTTTATCCATTTGAATTTTAATCCAAAAAGTTGTAATTCTAAAAAACATAAAATTTGCATATTTTACTATTTAACGCGTTATAGTATTTAATTTTTAATTCGGTGGCTAAAGGTGTTTCTAACTAAGAAGTGACCCAGTTAACAGGTCAATATCGTAACTGTTTCGGACGATAACGTCATTCAGACTTTCCGTTATTTCTTAGTGAGATACTATATTGGATCAGAAAATAACATGCTACTTTCAGAAGTCATCTCGAAAATCCAATTAGTGGAGAACTGCTTAACGGAGCACCAGTCACTTAAATCGTACTTTACCAATTTCCTTTCTTATTAGAGGATCAAATGGCAAATGAATGAAATAAGCGTAGTGTGTGCAGTATAAACACAAAATTCAGCAATTATATACATCTTGCCTTGTGCATGTTGCAATTTGCAAAGAATGAGGTATGTGTGTTGATGAAACGAAAGTTCTTTTATCAAACAATTTAATGAATCGATTTTATTCTAACTTTGTTATATTTCTTGAAGACCTCATTTACTATAGAATATTTTACATTTACTTTATGAATATGATAATTAATATAAAGCTTAAATACTTTTATAAAATTTATCACGTTCACTTTTTAGGTACTGCTTCTGCCTGCAATTATATTTCTGTTAAAGAAACTACGAGTTTAAAAGATCTTAAATACTTCTATATTGTACTACAAGAATTAAGCCAAATTAACTTCTAAAAAAGTCTTGAACATCAAGTCTCAATTTCCAATCTCAACTGAATAGAAATTACCACGAAAAAGTATTCTATAAGCTGTGGCAAGCAGTACAATTTTCGGCCTCGAAAGAAAGTGCGCCACTGTTATGCAATTAAGATTTTAATAGAACCTTCATGTCCGTGAATCTCCGTGCGCGTTTCCTTTGTTGCGCTTAACTCTGTTTGCTCAACCCCCTTTTCACGGTGAACTCTTTCAGTGGCCGCACCGAACACCGCATCCCTCAAGGGGTTAATTTCATTTCGACTGTCTGGGCAACATACGAGCCGAAGGTGTGCATCACGAAAGAACCTGCCACTGCACCAGCATGTATTGTCGTCGTCAACGTCGAAAGAGTTCAGTGTCAAACGTCAGCGATTTGTTTTCATGATGCACGAACGCTATGGTTGCACAACAACGATTTATCGCTGACGAATGTTATTGGCGACTCGTGATCAGCGTGTACGCAATATCTTCACGGACGAACCATCGTAATGCCGAGCGAGCCGATTTTAAAAATCAATTCATCTCCACGCGCCTGCGGGTAACGGTCGATGTCCAGCTTTTAATACGTCGTTAAGATTGAGTGCTCGGATTGCAATTGAACTGTCGCGTTTTGAACGCCGACAAACTAAAAAAGTATCGAGAAAAATCTATACATAGAATGTTTAGTAGTTCTTTGCGCTAATTATTTGAATCCTCCTTAATAGTTAATGGCGTGTTGCTTGAAATAAGTAGAAAGTTAGTGAATATTAAAGTAGTCCTTGGAATGTGCATTTTTTGGCCATTAAGCAATGTTTAATGACCAAAATTTTGTTTGATTGTGGGGAAACGAGCGTAGTGATTGCTTAAAAATTTAATAGTTTAATAATAACAAACTAACATTTAAACAATACACCTCAAAGTTGAGGTCTTCTGAAGAGTTAAATTAATACCGTATACAATATTCACGCACAAAAAAATAGTTTACTTTTGAAGTGACAATCTAAATACCGGGAGATATAATAATTTAAAATACAAAGCTTAAATTATGGACTATTAAAAATAGTCTGCAATGATAGCGAACTTGTCGATAAGACAATTATTTTTCTCGAAAGAACTTAAAAATATACGTACTCACGAATATTAATTATCGCTAAAATTGGTTAAAGTTATCAACTAGCAGCGGTAAATTATTTCTATGGCTAAAACGGATATTATTAAAGATTTTTGGAATATACGCTGCGGAATAGTAACTGGCCAATCGAGAAAGCGTTATCTTATCATCAGCCAACAGCCCAACTTCTCCATCCAAATGCGTGCTCTAGTATACAAGAGATAACATTTCGCCTCGTGGCCAATGAGATTCTATTTGAGATCCTGCTCGCTCGGTGTGGAGAAATCAGAATCCGGAATACGAGACATGCAACTCGATCTTGCGCTCATCTCGATTTCAGTCTCCCTTCCGATCAAACACCGCTTCTTAGCAATCTTGTAATCTCGCCGAACAAGTCCTCTAGACTCGTTGATCTAGACATCGTATACGCCGCGTTTGGCTCTATATTTTTACATTACGTATGATTAATTATTAATCGATAACTTGTAATTCTAGTTAAGACTCTCTTGAGACTTGGTATCACGTTACATTCATCTATAAATCGCATTACGTTTGCAATACGTATTTGAATTTAAGAACGTTGGTATTCACTATTATCACTGTTTTGGATTATAAAAACATTTTCAAGTAGATTAAACTATGGAAATCGTACTCTTTGTGATATTATGTATGCGTAACTTTTATTTTGCATATTTATGAGTAGTAGAGTTAATAGAAAATATTGTAATCAATCGCAACTTTTGTTCTCACAAGCGAACAAAAATTAAAGTATAGAGAATTTATGCTTTCGATTTGAAATGACGAACAAACGTTTTCAAATGAAACGAAGGAAAGTGTTTGTGTTCATCGCTGTGTTACAGAAGATTTGTAAAATCTCACATCCTAACTATGTAAACGAAGAAGAAGCGATAGCTTGCTTTAAAGATTTTAAAAAATCTTTGCAAATATTGAACTTCGTTCAAAAATTTCTCTTCGTTCAAAACTATCGCGATGAAATCAAATTTTTGAAGAAAGAAAATACATACCGAGGTCTCGATGCCGCTATCGTGGCACACTGTTTGCCATGAATTATGCTGAGATTTCATAAGTGCTTCTGACCTTTACTGCGAAGAATTTTCTTGGAACGATGACGACGATGATATCGCAGGCGAGAGTTAATAATCGATGTTCTACGTTCGAAAAATGTTTAACAGAATTAAGTAACGATTACGTGGACATTCAAGCGAAGGATAAATCTCACGATTAGATAATAATAGTAATAGTTGCGGTTTAAACAGTCATGATTACAGTGCAGTACTATACTTTAAACGCTCTTTTATTCCTTGTATTATTTTCTTTCTTCGTATAATTTTTTAATTCAAATTCTACTTGTTAAATTATTTCTATTAACAACTAAAAGGTATTTAATTTTTAATTCCTGGGATTTAGAGAGAGAATGTCATTTTTTGCTATTTTTAAAAAATGTTACGAGTACTTTTAAGTTGTTTTATCTTTTTCTTTGCTTTTTTAGCGCGCTATTGAATTCTTGCCTATTCATGAAGGGATTCCCGGAGTTTCATCTCGTGAAAATGCATGGAGTCCGACAATTAACATCGCATCCATTCACGTAAGCTCGGTGGCATTACGGAAAGGAAAAAAATAAGCGTTCATTCATGAAAACTCTTATCTGCGTATATATAGCCATAGATTACCAACCCCGTTTCATTCACACGTTCGCGGAACAGGTTGAATTTATCGCTGACATCTTTCCATTGAAAAAAGGACCATATCAATTTTACAAACCCCACTATTTTATATTTCATCTTCTTCAAATTTTTGTCCAAGATACCAAGGACTCCAATTTTATTAGCACGAATTGCTGTGAATTAACAAAAATCAACGCATTCGCTTCAATCTCTCTAAAATAACAAGAAGAAAACCATAGGAACTAAACTGAAGGTATAACAACATATTCATTTTTTAACAAATTCCTGTTAATCTATAATCAGTCCTCTAATCCAGACTTCCTCCATAGAAAACTACCATGTTACAACACCTTTAATTGACTAAAAAACGACGGCAGTAAGGAAACCATAAAAACCAAACAGAAGGTATAACATCGTCATTTCTTCAACATCATAACAAATCCATTCGAATTCATTTCACCAGTTAATCCACAAACATTTCTTTTATCCACAAATCTCATGTACGGAAGAAACGGTATCGAAAGAAACTAAGCAGGAGCATCGTCGAATCGACTCACGTGCACTGGAATACAAGCGAGCTTCGAGTCACAGTGCAGGATATATGACGCAAATCGAATGCACGCGGTTCTGTTTACGTACGAGATAAGAGTTTGTCCTGGGTCAAGGCTGCACGCAGTTTGATAATCCAATTCAGATAACGGGAACGTGCATAGAGTTTGCTGGACCTTGAGTACATACATACATATATATATACATATAGCGACGGTCTACGCGAGAAAGAGAAACGTCCGAAGAGAATACACACGAGGCAGCGCAAGGCAAGGCGAGTCTCGATGACTCATTTCGCGAGCAATTTGTCAAATCATCTGCCCCTTCTCTCCCCCGAAAGACCCGCCCTCGTTCCCTCTCCTTCAAACGGAAAGACTCACGTTTATCGTGAATAGTACGCCTAACGTGCGCACGTGACATTTCGAGTATCTCGAATTAAACTGTAAACATCGTAGTACAACCGACGGTTGAAGACCAGCCACGCGGACAGTGTCAATGATCCTACTATTTATTGGATCGTTGCTTACGCACGGCGTCACATGTCTGTGGATATGTACGTGTACACGTCCGGCTGTACGTGTGCGGGCATCTCTCCTTCCTCGTCTCGCTTTTGTCAGTCGTGACCTCGAAGGTTATTTCGTCTGTCTACCTCTTTATCTTCTGAATCTCCTTGCGAGACCCGATTTTCGAAATCTTTCATTCAGATGTTCTGCGGTGAATGACACGGCATGAACAGGAATTTGGCTTTGATTCTCGATTGATATGATACTTATGTATGATAGGAGCCTGAAAATTTCTACCAGCTGTCTGTGGATTATGATGTATGGTTGTTATATCGTATCGTTATTACAGGTTGGTACAGATTCAAACAGATTGGTTTTGGAATGTACGTGCACTCAAATACTCACACTTAAATACTCTTCTCTTCTCCTTCAATGGAATACCATGAAGTATACGTTTCTCAAATCTCTTCAGCCTCTATCTTTCAAAAACTCGAAGAACACTTAGGAACAATGAAACGTGAACGAAGTCATCTCTTCTCCTCGTGAATCCTCCAGATATCCTCTCTGAGACTGAAAGTCTCGATGACCATGATATAAATTGCGCGAACAGCCTCTGGTGACTTTGCAACTGCCGTTAGATTCCATGCAGCGACTGTACGAGTTTCGTTCCCTGTGACTACTCTCCACGTCTCCATCTCGACCGATTCTCCGTCACGATTCATAGGGGTATAGGTAAACGACATCCGCGTCCGAGTGGGCACGTGCGTGTGCCTCTGCGTTCGCGTGTCCCGTAGTTTGTGTCGTTGACTGAGGGTGGTGGTGGTCGTGTGATGGTAGTGGCGAAAAGGGGGAAAAGGGTGACGGAGGAGGGAGAGCAAGCACGTGTGAGGACGTAGTACGATTTACTCGCAGATCGGTGGAACGTCTTCCTCGTTCCCTCCCTCGCCCTCTTTCTCGTCGATGAGCTGTCTTTCTTTCTCTTCCACCCCTTCCCCCTATCGCGTACTTCTCTTCCTCATTCTCCTCCTCTTCGTCGTTCCTCCTCCTCCACCTCTTCCTCCTCCTCCGCCTTCTCCTCCTTCACCACCTCTTCCTCCTACCACTGACATTATACTACTACTACGGGGTACTCCACTTTCATTCAGTCGCTTCTAAAAATAAAGTCCCTGATTCACAATGCATGAATGACAATCACACTGAAAGGAATACCGCACAGACTTGTAGCCTTTCTCACTCTCTTTCCCCTCTATCTCACTCCCTCTAACCGTCCCATGTCTTCTTTGTCTCTCTTGTCGATCTCCTGCTCTTGCGATTTTCCCTCTCCCTCCGTCTTTCTGTTGTATATGTCCTGTCTCGTTCTACCATTCCCGAAGCACTCCCTCTCGCTCTCTTTTCGCTCCTATCACTCTCGCCTCTCCTGTCTCGCTTCTTTTTCCAACCTGTTCTCTCGTTCCCTGGCGCCCACCCCCCTTTCTCCCTTCACACTCTCTCTCTCTCTCTCTCTCTCTTTCTCTCTGTGTCTATGTATGTATATATATGCCTGCCTCTGTATGTATATGTGTCGTACTCTCTTGTAAGAGAGTGAAATCTCGGTTCGCCTGTTGCATCGAACTATTGGTTGGTTCCGTGTAAATAGATCCCGTGGAAATTCGAAGTAGCATTGCCGCGTTGCGCCGGCCTGATCGATCGGAGGGATCGATCTCGCACCGGAGAACTTGTTGCACATCGTGCCAGATTTTACAAATGTCACGGTCCGGTGTTTGAATTGGCATCAGAGAGTATGTACGTCCGTTTGAATAAACGTTATCGTTTGCTTGTACTATCCGATGGTGATCGAGTAAGTCGAGGAATAGGAAGCAGTTGGAGAATAGTTACTGAAACGTTTCTCTGCTCGTAGGTGTTCGGGCGAAGCGGTGGCTGCTTCTTTCGAGGATAAATGAGAAGTTTGATATTGCAGAGGATGAAAAATTGTTAGTAGAGTCCGCAAGACTGATACGATAACGAAGCGAGCTATCTAAAGCAAGATCGTATCGCTGGCTGATAAACGAATTCTGCGAGGAAAACAAGTGTAGATTCAACAAGATATCGTTGGCACTGCGTTATGACAGTTTCAGGCGATGTGCGTGTTCGTTTTAAAGTACATGTATAATTAAAGTATAGCGATGAAGGCATATAACAGGATCCCATGCAGTTTATTGTCCATATAATTACAGAATTCTTAATGTATTAAGTCAAGAAAACGAGGTAATTCATCATGCAACTTTGTAACATTTTCAACTTAATAACTTATTTATTAAAAAGTTCTTTCTTATTGCCAGACTAATTCATGATAAGTCACAATGGTAGCTTTTTAATTTCGTCTTGGATTGATTTGACACATATACTCATTTAGTTATATTCACATTTACTAAGATTAATTCGTCCTTAGTAATTTTAAATTTCGCGCCAGACGTTTCTGACTCTGGAACATCTCATTCAACTGATTAATCTATTGTACTATGATAATCTTTTTCTCTCTATTTTCCCTCTAATACAAATTACATTTTAAAACATATGTACGTATATTGTAATAATAATAATGTTTCATAGTTTCATTGTAACGAATGGTCTGCCACAGACCATTTATTTTACGAGGTTCTTTTTCACATAGAATGATTTCCGAATTACAGAAGGGTTCGTTTTATGAAGATGAACAACGAAGATAGCAACCGGAAATACCAGCTATAATTTGGGAATGCACAATTGTCCCGTAACGCTCTGAAGGTTCACGGAAATAGGGGCGAGTAACCCTGAATATCTCGTGAAGTTCTCGGCTCGAAGCACCCAAGGAGAACTGGTTTCAACTCATCATAGTCACCTAGCTGTTCACGATACGGCATTCCAAAATAAAAAACAGAATAATCAAATGTCCCTGAAAACAGCAAAACACTGCCGAATTCAATAATATTGCTTGAAGCTGTTTCAAAGCCTAGAGGTATTTCGAAAATTCTTCAGTGAAGAATTGACCGCGAGGAGAGTTATATTGTCTCGTACATATAAAGTAAGAGAAAGAAAACGTTTTAAATATTATAAATATCGTCACGCGAACCATTATATTAGCTAAGAAATGAATGGTGTCTTAAAATAATATTTAAAAACGGTGAATATTGTTACAGAGACCTACTTTCATCGCCCTTCTTGAAGTTACTCACGCGAAACATTCTTGTTAGTAGATAATCCTATAATAAATGCAGCCTACGGAAACTTCAAGACACTTCAAATTCTTCTTGCGAAAGAAATTGCAGCTACATCCAACGGTGCTATAAAAATATGGCAAACGTTTGCGAACGTTTATCCACTTACGATATTCCAAACGACTACATGAGAAGTTAAATATTTCTTGAAAATCAAAATGCTTCGTGGCATCAGAAGTTGAAGAAAAAGTGACTCCAATACTTGAAGAAAAAAGAAAAATAATTCAAAGTCGGATAATTCCAAGATTAAAATATCCCTCTAGTTGAACCATGACTACGACAATCCTGGACTCTAATCTGACTGCAAGATTTCAGCGAAGGGACAACTTTGTATCCAAGAGTTTCCCTTGACGAGACTCCCTCGTTATTATCCGCCGCTGCGAGCCTCTACTCTAACTAAAGAGAGACTTTAGAGTGCAAGGCAGAGCTATAGGTAGAGAGAGCAGCAGTACCAGCAGCTCGAACCGCTCACAGCTAAATATATCTCTCTCTCTAGAGTTACTCAAGGTCACAGCGCTTGGATTGGCCCACGATAAAGCGCAGCTCCGTACCCGTCCCTCGGCTGCCCGGCCTTATGCTTCGTTCGCACACATTCTGCCGTGCCGTGGCCCACATGTCACATCGCGACAATGTCGTATACCAGCCGCATCGGGTACACGTGTTCGATCGAACGCAGCAATAGTCACTCCGCATGCGAGTCGTATTTTCAGCCGCGATACGTTCCTATATAGTCACGTCTACACCTTTCGATCTTTTTCCCCATTGTTCTGTTTCATTAGTCACAATCGCAATTTCGCATTAATCGCGATCAAAATTCTGTGTTCTCGTTTTACTCACGCTCTGTCGTTTCTTGGAACGTTTTTCTCTTGAAATCTCACGGAACACTTTCGATCCCTTTCAATCATCGATTTTTTAAATCTTTGCTACTTTTGCATTTTGGTTTTAAAGTAGAGTATTTTATGGAAGTTGATTCTTTTTATGAATAAAGTTGCCTATTTTCTTTAAGTTACATATTATAATTAGGTATTTCTGAGAAATATAAATTACAGTAAAAATAATCCGTGTAATAAAAAGAAAGATATTTCGGAGGTAGTATCATTTTAGCCCGTTCAGGGAATATACGATATATTGCATACGTGATGTTATTATTATTCTATGAAGCACGTATACTGACTTCCGGGTAAACCATAGACACGGAAAGAGAGTGTGACCTGTTGCTGACGACAAATAATTGGCGAGTTACAGGTCGCTCTTTAGAAACACCAACAGAAAGGCGTAGAATCTATGGGGCGTATGTTCCGTAATAATGTATACGCAATGTAGGATCTTACAAACAATGGCGTAGGCTTCAATGCAGCTTAAGTCCATTATAAAATTATTTACATTCTATTAACATCATTCGTTTGCGAGATTTCTATTAATCCTGCTACGTTCTTTAAGTTTTATAAAAAAATCATTGATTAATATCCGCGATTTTTTATTTTAACGTTATATTACAGTTTTTCTTAAAACATCAAATATTTTTTTATTCATTTAAACGATAACAAAATTGCTACGTAAAGATTTAAAAAACGTAACAAGTTAACAAATAATACAAAAAGATTTCAATGACACAAATGACAAATACTCGAGTATGAAAACACAAAGAGAAAACGTATCGTGAGATAGACAATTCGTAATGCTTTCAAAAACTATTCATTCGATTTGGACAGGGATGTTCCGAGGTTCGACGGTGCTGATAACAGAACCAAGCTACACTCGTTCTATAGCTGAATTTGAGGTTAGGTGATTGTCCGGGTGTGCGGTAAGCATCGATAACGACGATAACGGCGCGCTGCAACCTCGCGGCTGTAGCAACACGATCTGGCAACCCTGGAGCGGCCAGCAGTGCCGGGGTTGAATTTCAAGCGCCCGAGGGACAGAGGGGGTCGGGTCTCTCTCTTTTGTATAGGGGGCACGAGGGCTTCACCGATGCTCGGCACATAACGGTGAGTCGACGGCCATGATGCGGGGCTTATGGCCGGCTGCCTGGTTCTGTTGTCTGTTAAAACGCGCTTCAAAAGAAAACCAACCTTTCTCTTCGGCTTCCTCCTCGGCCCGCCCCCTCTTTCTCCGAAAAATTACATACAACTCGCTCTAGGCCTACGGGGTTGAGTCCCAATAATCGCTCGTTTCTCACCACCCGAATATTCCGTTTTCCCCATGACCATTTAAAATACGTAAACGGCAAATTCGCGCACATGCGAGCAAAGATTGAAATCGCTAAACGATAGAGTTTTAATTTAGGGAGACATTTTCCGATTTTTAAATTTTAAATACCTTTTGATTAGTGGAAGCATAAAGGAATGAGTGTCTTAATATTTTCAGTTCGATCTTTTAAATTAAATGATCTTTTTCATTAAAGGAAATTGTTCTTAGATTTGAATTTGATAATTTTTGTATGAAATATTAGGTTTTAGTTTTTAATTCTTACTGTTGGATAATTTATGGCAAACATTTTTCTAAATATATACTTGTTAAGCTGAGGGTTCAGTAATTTGCGAAAATGAGTTACCTACTATTGAAGACGGGTTAATCTTTCGTACAACCCCCGGCAGTAAATACCGAGTATCCGTACTATTGTTCATGCGCGCATACCTAAACTTTAAAATCTTTACTCGCTGCAAGCCTTGCAGGTTTTAAAAGTGCTGACCTTGTCGTTTTTATGATGTATCCCGAAAATAGTGCAAAGCAACTCAGAAAATTCGAGGACCTATTTCCATTAAAATTTCCGATGTATTATACGAAACAAAAGAATTATGTGTACGGTACTGTCTGAAACTTAGTTTACAGAAAACGGACCTATATAATTTTAAATATTATACACTTGCTAATACCGTTTTTTAAAACTTCAAAATGAGAAGAATATGACCGAACAAAATTTAATTGTTCAAATTTTATAATTTTTAAATGCTTTGAGTTTAGGATAGCAATTTGTGATTGTAAAGTTTCGAAAGATTCTCGGTAAGTTTCTTCGTTCTTGCTGTGCAGAAGCACCGACAATGGAAAGTTACCGAAGCGCAAGCGCTCGCTCGGCACTTTCCACCAGTACACTCAACCGACCGTAGCAGCCATACAATGCATTGGTGGTAGTGCTGCTGACATTGGTAGTGAGCCGTTTGCTATGGTACTCATGGGCATGGGCTGGCGGTGAAGCGAGATCTCACAACGAACACATCGGTATCGTCGACCAACACCAGCTTGCCGAATGATTATACGGCAGCACACTATCGCACGGCGTAGCATGTGGTGTATATGACGGTATAAGGGATATGCTAGATACAATGAACGTTCGTTCACTTACGTATATACGTATATTCAACATAGCAGGGACAAACCCTTACGCGAGATACACATATATAGGAAAAGTTTTGAAGAAACGGCCATAAGTTTCTCTGTTGCTTGCAATTTTGCACGACGGTCACGGACACTAGCAACAAAGAAGTAGTGGAATGCAAAATTAACGGATTGCGAGAACAAAGGAGAGAGTAACTAAAATTGGACAAATCCGATTTTTTAAATTATTTTAATTACTAAAATATTTGACGAATTTTACAGGCGAAGCAAAATACAAGAAATGCTAGAAAATATTTTAGAATGAAACTTACAAAAAAGAAGCTGCAATTTTATAGCACGTTCTCTTAATTGAGTTTCAACTCGTCGATTCGCAGAACGAACGTCATTAAGCTCGTAAGCACGGAAGTACAGCGCGCGTGTCGTCGCGTTTACAAAATTGTGAAATCGCTCGTTTCCCAACGGCTGCGGCATCCGTCTCGTGATCTTCCTCCGCAAGCATAAAAAAACACGTTTACCCCCTCTACGTTTTGCAAGCGACCAATCGTCGAGCATTTGGGACTGTTCAAAGCACACGGAGACTTTTTGAAAATGTTCGTATCCCACAAGGGTTGCAAGAGTCTCCTTTCCTGCATATGCCCTTTTGTGCGTGTTCGAGCCACTTCTGGCGTACACGTATATCCGTAGACCGTGACGCGTTGCACACAAGCACCGTCCTGTGTATGCGAGACCCCGTCTACCTACACGATTTAATCTCGCTTGGTATAGAGCGTGACGGTGTGTACGCACGTAAAGGGACACACACAACGTTATCGAGCGTTGTGTTGGAGCACACGGTGTGTGCCAGCCGTGCTACGGCACCACTGGCGCGCCTCTACCCCGGCTTTAGCATCGATTTCCAGTCGGACGACCCAGCGCGATCGAGCGAACGGTACGCGCCTTCACGAGGAGGTACATATCGAGCGCGTCCGCCGCTCGTGGGAGTCCGCGAAGAGGGGTCGCAAGAGAAATAATACAGTTTATCGTCGAAGCGACCGACGAATTTCTGCGTAAAGCATTATATATGATAAAACGCAATCCATCGCTTCTATTCCTTTGCTTTACGTATTAGGAAGGATAGGAAAGAGAGAGGGGCAGAGCGAGTGGGAGCGGATCTACGTAGAGGGGAGATAGGGTCGGGCGATTTAGTAGTAGTGTAGAGTCCCGAGAGGCAAGAGGAAAAGGGGACAGGCAGAAGGTAGCGAAGGCGCTGCCCTCAGTCGGTCGGCCGCTTCACTACAGTCAGCATACACAGAGTAGAGCAAGCGATTGACTATACGTAGTCTTTGCCTAAGCGCGCACTACACTCTGTGTGTTCCCGTTTTTCGAGTGAAGGCTTCGAGCTTCGTTCTGCCCGCTCTTTCGCTCGGTCGGTCGGTCGGTCGGTTGGTCGGTGTGATTGTGAGTGTGTGTGCGCGCGCGTACTCACACGCGCCCATCCAAATAGAGACAGACAGAGAGGATAGAGAGAGAAAGACAGATACAGAGTGTTGAGGAGTCGTGCAGAGACAGGCGCGCGTACACAGCCATCGAACGTGGTGATTCGTACGGAGGCGGACGTGCGATAGAGCTAAAAACCGAGGCCGTTTCTTGCGAGGGAAAAAGACACGGCGTTGTCCTTCTTATCTTCTGGTCATCAACGTCACACCGTTGCCGTCGATGAGATCGTCAACGGGTTTTCGTCATCAACGCTTCAGCGTAAACTTTTTCTGCTCGACACGAAGATACACGAACAGTTACATGGGAACAGTCCGTACAACAACCAGTTCTGACAAACGGGAGGATCAAAGACGATCGTGAGTAAATAGAGCGAGAAAGAAGGGGGTGGCACGTACCCTTGCGGAACGCGCGTGTATAGTATCATCCGCGCGACGGACGATTGAAGTACGGGAGAACCGTCGTGTGTATTCCGAGAGTTCCTCCGTATATCGGTGCATACGTGCGTGTACGAGGACTACTGAGAGAGGTGGGGGCAGATAGACTCTATACTTCGCGGACATCCGGCGGGGAAACCGCATGTATTCGTACGAAGCTCTCTGAGAGAGCGAGGGAAAAAAGAGGAAGGATCTGCTGGCGCCGAGGGAAACACACGGGTGCTCTCTCGAGTGCTCGACGAAGAGACTTCAGAGAGGAGAAAGGAGGTTCTTTGCGTTCCGATTGCTCGCGTATCTTACACGTTCTCCTTTTTGTCCAGCTTAGACCGAGCCAGATATATATCATTGCTTTTCATAGACGCGGTATAGAATATTAGAGAATTCTGTTATTTATCGTAATCCTCGTATCGTTGATCCTCGTGTGTGCGTGCCCGCACGCAACGGTTGAAATTTTCGGTACAAATAATAAGGGTGGTGGAAAAGAGGTGGAAGGACGTGACGGCGAGAGAGAGAGAGGTAGAGTGAGGGATCAAGGGGGAAAGAGAGAAGTGAGAAACACGCCGAGCAGTGCTGCTCTCTATTGGCGACGTCGAGTCGCGCTCCCCACCCGGGACAGTCGAACGAGGTCCGAAGGCGAGTTCTCGGCGTGTAACTACGGTGATTTTCCCTTACGAGAGTGTACGCACGAGACCTCGTAGCTCTGCAGCACATCACGCGTTCCGCGTAAACATCTCTCGACTTAACGATATATATCGGTGGTCTAGTATTAAACTAGAAACGTCAATCCTGGGAAATACAGTGAAGAAATATCTTTCGGAGGAAATCGGAAAACAGCTAGAAGGAGAAAGAGACAGACGGAGAGAGAGAGACACTGGTAGTGAAGTCCGCTTTACACGCGTGCTATCGTCGATAATTCTCTCTCTCGGAACGCGATCAACTCTGTGTGTGCGCCGATCGTGAACGCGTCCCACGCGTGTGTCGCGTATCACCGCCGCCGGTGAAACCAAGAGAATTCGAACGAGTCAGAGGGTAAAATAGGATTTCTCGCGTGGTCGGTCCTCTCCCGTGGCACGCGCGGAGAGGGGTGCACGAAGAAGTGAGAGAGGGAGAAGGAAAGAAAGCGAGATATCGCTCGACGAGGATAGAAAAGGAAGAAGAGGGAGAAGGAGGGACAGAGAGTGTTGAGGGGAGCGACGAAGACGTGTATAGTGCACAGAGGCGTCGGTGCTGCGCCCCAACGGCCGTTCGTCGAAACTCAGTTATCACAATGGCTTCCGTGAAAGACACAGCAACTTTCTTCGCGGAGGGCACAGCGAGTCAGTTCGAACACGTCTTGAAGCTTTATCCGCAGGCCCTCAGACTCAAGGCCGATCGGAAGACGAAAAAGCCCGAGGAGCTGATCAAGTTGGACAACTGGTAAGTTCGATATAACGTCTGATATTTCGTCGACATATTACGCCCGATACACACGGGCCCTCCTTTTCAACGAGGGGCTTCCACCACGGGCACACACGGGACAATGAACCCGTGGCGCGCCAGTTGCCACCACATACCGCATGTTGTGTGTGTTACCCGTATGGCCCCCTCGTCGGACCTAGCTGCAATTTCAGATAGTATATTTACTCTCTCCTATTCCCATGATCGACGACGATCGCCGGAGCGGCGGCTTCGAAACACGGTGGCCGCTAGATCGCCTTTTAACTAGTCGTAGAAAGGATACATACTCGTGTTGTCACGTGGTGATTCTATTAACTCACTTTTTTCCTCTTTACTTCCTTTTTCTTTGACAATAATACAGTATGATATTTTGATTAGTTTTAGTAGTAGTAATTGGATATTTAATATGGATTTTCGCTACGATAATATTGACCTAGGAATTTTCGTGGGAATTTTGTGCCACCTCATCGAGGAAGTTTCGACGTTGCCATTATGATCTCATGCTCTGCTATTGTATTTGGTGTTGTTTCGTGTGACAGCGTGTTTAAAAATTTTAAAAAGAATGTTACGATGCACGAAAAAATACGATACAATTTCTTCTAAATATTTTTCTGTATTTCCATGAATGTTAAATGGATTTTCGAGCAAGCGTCGCGCTGGCAACGATGCCAGTGAAAGAGGCGACTCGCCGGCGTCGCTTTCACGGCGTCACACAACTACCTTGACTCGTTCGGACACGATTAACGAACCTTTCTCCACTCTTGTTTTCGCAATTCTTTTTTTCAATGGTTGGTTCATCTAGCCTATATCCTCATTTCTTTTCCAAATCAAATGATTAACTCTTTGAAATTTTACGATACGCAACTTTGCAGTTAACCCTATAGACTGTTTTCTTTAGCACCAATGATACACTCTTGCACCTTTTATATTCAGTACGATTTTCGCATGTTTACATTATGTGAAATATCCTAAGATGTTCATTTAAATATTTTCAAATATCTAATTCAGGATCATAATATTAGACATTCAAACAAAAAATTTTAGAAATTCTATACTTGCAACTTTCGCAAAATCGTATTTAATCAGCCAGGTTTTTTAGCAAATTTTAGATGGTGGCATTCTTTACAAATGTATTTTCGATAATATTCATAAATTGACTTACTGCTATGTATAAAATGCGTACGTTTATTTTCTCTACGTGAATAGAATTCGTATGTTCTTTATCAATAATTTGTTGCCTTTCAGATTTTTGAATATTTAAAATCTATTGTATAATATCTATTGATATTCCAAAAGTTGTACAAGACAATTGATTACCCTTTTTTGAAACTAGAAGCGCTATCACTAAACATTTTCAGAATTTTCTTCTATTTATTCATCCTTTGCCAAATTTTAAATTATATATAATATTCGAATCAAATGACATTGCTAAATCCGAAACCAATGTATATTCTCCCTGCGGAAATCGTTTTCTCGCATCTTTTGTCATGTCAAATAAGCTTTTTGTTCCACAAACTGAAGTCTTTTGTGTATCCTGCTCTGACCTATACTTCTTTCTGTTTAAAATTCAACTTATATTTTCTTACCATGCTTTCGTAAGTTATATAGGTTAGTGTAATATTTTTCGCATAAAGGCAATTTTACAAACGCTTATAAAAGGAATCACTATTTATTTATGTATTTACATAGAAAATTTTAATATGTGCTATTGCGTGATCATGATTGCGAATTCAACTAGGTTAACTCGTAAACTGGTATCATTGAGTCATTCGAGACTATAACAATTTAAGGTTAGATTACTTAATTTTTTGACTTTTTAACTTAATCTAATTCTATTATATCGATCTTTATCATGTAAAGTACAAAATAAGATAAAATACCCGAAATTTTAGTAATGTAACATAAATTATCATAGTTTTCCATGAATCAACACAGCTATTTGAGGTTAAAATATGTGTGTATTTCTAGGTCCGTAATTAAAAACTAAACAGTGTCCATTGTTGACAGCCGTCAATTGGTTTTATGTCATAATGTTCTTTTTATGTTAAACAGTGTCGATAATATTTTTGATAATAATTAATTGGCAATTGTTTATTAGTGTAGATTCTTATCATTAGATATGCTTGCTGGATAAAGTGTAAATTTTAAATGAAAGAATAGTCCTCCAGTATCAAATATAACAGAGATCTGTAAATTGCGAAGTAAGGTTATGTCAATATTGTCCAACTTTGTTTTATTTTATTCATTCACGGTTTAATTTCACGCACGGAGATCTAAAGGTTTGTTACACGTGACAAACGTACTTTAATTCGTTATTACGTTCAACGAAACTCGTGTAATTTGATAAAATATTTCTAGGTTAGAGTTGCGGGATTCCATAGAAAATCAATGCAAGACTATTTTTCTTTCTTCAGAAATACTGCATGATGTAGGAAATTTATATTTGTCGAGAATTTGGATACGAATTTATTCGTCTACAAATTGATATATTACTTATCGCGTATGGAAATATGTAAGTTCTGTAATTACCAAGTAAACAGTAAAGTTAACGTCTATTAACTTCTACTATATTGAAAAGAATTTCGATGAACATTGTGTTTAAGGTTAACAAGAGCAGTAATTTATGGTCACGTGATATGATGCAGAAAAACACGTTATCGAAGGACATAAATAATGTAACATGTAATATTTTGTCAAGTTACAAATGTAAATAGTTAATTGTCAAAAGATAGGATATGTAATAAATATTTCTAAAATTGAAGAAAGAGGTTTATCGTAATGCTTCATAACTACTTCAATTTCTTCATATTCCGTAAAATTCTGGGATCTGGATGGAAAGAGCAAATCCTTGGAATTCGTTTTATAATCACATTGTTGGCAAGCAAAATTTAATAATGGGAATAGACCAGAAAAAGTAGCAAATGAAACGTTAACACAATGTTTGCTCTTAATGAGATAATACACACATATATATTTCTCTATTAACACATTGCTGGTTAATGGTGGTCATCCGTAACTATTATTAGAGAATGATTTTTGAAGTTGGTCGAAACATTTGCATTAAATAAACAGTTATTAAAAAGTTAAAATTGTTCGAATGCTTTTTGACTTATTTAGTATTTCACATTGTTAGTATTCAAATTATTGACAATTTTACGAGCGTAACTGTTTATTTAGTTTGAATATCTCAATTAACGTTTAGTATGGGTTATTCAACATTTAACTCAGAAACATTTGTCATATATGGTACACGATATAACTTATAATTATTATAACGAAGATTAATTGCTTGAAAATTGTGAACCTTATTATTAAGTACTAATATTTCTACTAATTAAATACCAATTACGTATCGTGCTGAAAAATGATATTACTACGTCGCTATTGATGACACACAAACTTCACGTAGCATTCAACGTGTACATATATCAAAGTTGAATGATTTTCATAAAATTAAAAATTGTATCATTTTTCATTCAAGAGCTCCGTTCGTATACCGAATATTTTACCTCCGAAGAAAATTACCGACTCGGCTTACAAAGCGTCAGCAGCAGCCCCTTAAGAATCAATCCTCTCTCGTTACACAAATTACCAAAGACAAGGCGTTGGATAAAGCTCGTTTATCAAGACCGACGCGCGGAATTTGGAGCGTGGAGACGATAAAAACGAGGATTTATCAAGGGGAATCCGATTTGTCTGGTTCTACTGCGAAATTATAGAACGCAGCTCGATGTAAACTCGACTGAAATTCGGAGCGAAATGCTCGGAACCGGGACAGTTGCCGTTGACGAGGCGTCCGCGAGCGACAACGAGGTTTCCACGGCGCGTGCTTCAATTCCACTGGCGTCACGTCTGGCTTAATTAATTAAAGGCAGGTTCGAGACTCGTTAAATTCCACGTTACGACTTTTTAGTCTTTCCTACGACGACCGGGAATCGGGCAATAATAATGGAATCTTTACCATCCACGATCGTCCCGCGTTCCGCCGTTTAATTATTCATTCTCTGTTCGATAGTGCCCTCTCTTTCCACCCTTCCCCACCAATTTCCCTTTGTTTTTGTTAATTCCGCATAGATCAAACTAGCGTCAATCTTTCTTCGTTTCTCTGCACATCCCCTTTGGCCAATCGTTCGCTCTTTTTCCTCTTCATTTTTTCTTCTTTTTTTTAACAATCTATACACACCTTGGAAAACTTATCCGTGCCAGTTAAACGAGCGATTACGAGAAATTGAATTGTTGGCTTTGGGAAAACGCGTCTTCTTTGTGCCTGAAAGGGGATGAAAAGTCCAAGAACGGTATTTCTCGGTACTTCGCTATTTATCATAGCTAAATAAATCTGTGATTTTCTCTTTGTAATGTTTTCATAAAGAAATATTTTTAATAGGGCGAAAGAAACTTAAGGGGACGTTAACACTCTATAAACAAATTGGATCGTTGACGATCCAAGAAATTTTATCCTTGGATCTTTTGTTCCGGGTTTTCACATTTATTTACTGTAGCACAGATATTTATAAGCATCCCAGAATTTTATCAGACTTCTGGAGAGTCTGGAGTAATAAGAAAATTAGGTTTGCACGCAGTTTGTCTATGAACTATGGAAAATTATGTTTGTCGGCGAAGAGTATATATGAACAAAGTGGTCTTCAGTATCTCTAAACATGTTATAGATTTTAGCCACTTCTTTTTATTTAGCAAAAACCTATAGAAATCTTTCAAAACAACCACCGTATAATTAATAAGCGTTGAGAATTTCTCCTGATAAAATTTCCTATAAAAATAATTTCATCTAGAAGAAACGTCCCACTTGGGGATTGCGATTCTTAAATTTACAAGTCGAGTTCTGTGCCTTTACTTTACTTCACGCTAAGGAAACGAATGATTACGATAAATTTAATTGTTGACTTCAGAGAAATACATCTGATCGTATCTAGAAGAGCTGAAACAAGGAATCCATTGAGCATACATATTCCAACGGAAGT